TTGGCTCTGCGTCCCCGCCCAAATATCATCTCAAATTGTAATCTCCATGTGTCAAGGAAGTGATCTGTATTCCCCATGTGTTGAGAATAGGAAGTGATTGGATCATGGAGGCAGATTTCCTCATGTTGTTCTTGTGACAGTTAGTGAGTTGTTATGAGATCTGATGGTTTTACAAGCCTTTGACAGTTCCTCCTTCAAATACTTGCTCTCTCTCACCTGCTTCCATGTAAGATGTGCCTGCTTTCCCTTCCACAATGATTGTAAGTTTTTGAGGCTTCCCAAGCCATGTAGAATTGTGAGTCAATTAAATCTCTTTCCTTTATAAATTACCCAGTCTTGGGCAGTTCTTTATAGCAGTGTGAGAACAGACTAATACAACCTGTGATGGAGCAATCCTCATCCTGTGCATATTTCTAAGACAAAGGAGTGCACATGTCTCTCAAAATTGTGTCCAACAGTGCTCATAGCAGCACTCTTTGCAATTGCCAAAATCAGGAACAAATTAAATATTTATCTCCAGTAAAATGGATTAAATATTTGTGTTATATTTATGCAAGATAATATTCTACGGCAATGAAGATAAACAAACTAAATCACATGCAACAATATGAAGGAATGTTGACCCTCACCACATAATAGTAAGTGAAAGAAGCCAGACAAAAGAGTTAAATACATAATAGTTCAGAAACAGAAAAAATAATCTATGACGTTTGAAATCAGGATAGGGGTTACCCACTGGATTGTGAGAATAATGACTGGGTCCAGAACTTCTTGCACAGTGGTGGTGTGGGGGAGAGTTGGTAGTAATCTGCTATTCATAGCAACAGGAGGCATACAAATTCCTAGGCAGACAGGGACAGGTCCCTGGTGAAAACTGACCTTCAAGCCAAAGGCAGTTTAAAGCCTGAAAACTGAGCTGTCAGTTCTGGGAAGAGTCCATGATGGAAATGAGAACTTCCTCGATGTCTTTTAACCAATCAGTTGGTGCTTTTCCCAATTCACCCATGTACCAGTCAGCATGCACTCCCTCACTCAAAGTCCATAAAAACCCTGGACTCAGTCTCACAGAGGCCTACCCACCTTCAGGCCCCCTGTCACAAATAGAGCTACCCGTTCTTGGGTCCCCTCTCCTCTGAGAGCTTTTCTCTGTCACTCAATAAAATTTTTCTTTGCCCTACTCACTATCCAGTGTCTGTGTGCCTTATTCTTTTTGGCCATGGGACAAGAACCTGGAACTCACCAAGCTGTGTGTGGCAGGAACAAGAGAGAAGTGTAACATTTGTTGATACTTAGATCTCCGGACACTCTGTGCAAGAGCTGTAACACTTCTTGGGGCTTCACAGTTGTTGGCATCTCCAAGTTTTCAGATGCCAACACATTACCCTTGTCTAGACACCAATGCTCAATGTGGAAGCTGCCTGTGGCATGCCTGGTCCAGCCACAGGTTGAGTGCAGAACCTATGGTGGGTGTGGGATCCAGGCCAGGGCATGAGCTGAGTTCAGTCTGCTGAGCCGAGTGGACAGAGTGAGCCTGGCAGGCTGGAGCACAGCCCTGGGCAGAGGTCATGGCAGCCAGAGATTTCAAGCTGGAGAAGCAGCACTGGAGGAATTCTCTAACACAGTAACCCTCCTTCCTGCTTGCCAAGCAATGGGGGAGAAAAAAAGCTACCAGGTGCCATTCCCTCCTGCTCACCAAACTACAAAAACTGCAACACTATTTCTTAACATAATATTGATTGTATAGGTATATTCACATTGTAAGAATCTATCTAGCTATAAACTTGTCATTTTCTACATACGCTTCAACATTAAGATTATTGAAAAAAAATTAATGGGCCTGTGTTGAGAACACATAGGAGTTAGCGTAAGAAGTCTCTATTGATCAAAAATTTAATAATCTGAGTATCAAAACAATAATGATTAGAGTGGATTAAACATTGAATTAAAGAAATCTATAATGATACTCAGAAATGGAAAACTAGTAAAAAATTATACACATAACTCTTTAAAGAGTGACCATATGGCCTTGCTTTCTGAGGAACATCCTGACTTCATGATTAATGGCGCTCACTTTTGTTCTCAAAAGTGTACCAATTTGGAAAATAAATTATATATCATATCACTAACAAACAAGCTTCTCAGTTTGCATTAGTAAATTGGTGAATACAGGGAAAGAACTGAGTATTCATCCTACCCTTTCAGGCTAACTTGAACAGACTCCAATGAAGGGGCAAAGGCATATTTTACAGAAGAATTTCTACAAAAGATGCAGACACAATAAGTTCTCTTTCTACAAATCTTTATGAAAGCATTAGCTCAGTTAAGAATTATCAGTTGTTAAAACTATCATGTATATGGTTGATGAGTAATATGGTATTCCCATAGTTTCACAATAACACTACACTGATTACTTGTTTTTATTAATGAAATACATATATGTATTTCTTTACTATGGATTAATGTATGAATATATAAAATACTGCCATTTGGAATGGTAGACCCACTGACAGCTTGCATCCATGCATCTAGAAAAGCTGCAGACCCTCAATGCTACCCTGGATATATAAACTCCACTTATTAATCCATATTAAATCCATATATTATATATCCATATATTTATATATATGTATTTATATAGATTCCATATATATGTATATTCTCTGTGTGTGTATATATACACACATACACGCACAGAAAAATTGAGGGGTCAGCTAACCAACTTGCTAATCCAGTAAACAATGTTAGCATTTAAACTAAGAATAAATCAACCATGTATTAGGTCCCCAGGTATACTGTCATGTCATCTATGGTGTATTCTACAAACTATTTAGCTTGATTCCTTCTAGTCTTTAGATTTAAACTCCAATTACTGAAAATATAAGGCATTGAAAAATTAAGCTAAATGACATCCCCAGTCAAATCCAGAAGGTGGAACAAAGTGTACAAAAACTGGTCCTATTGTTTTAACAAGTCAAAGTCAGTGGGAAAAAAATGTAACTTGATTAAGAGAGACTTAAGGGACATAACAAAATGAAAGGCAAATCCTTATTTGGACAAAGTAGCTATGTAGAATATTTTTAAATGTTTTGAGGAAATTTAAACATAGATTAGGTATTAGATATGAAATGTATTGTTATCATAAATCAGAGGTAGTTAAATAAGAAAAGAAGTAAATATAAAGCAACATATGAAATGATCTCTTCAAAAAGAGATACATATTTATATGAATGTCTTTATGGGTATGTGCATAAATGGAGATATCTGGGAGGCTGTGTAGAGATTCAATAAATTTTAGGAGTAGTGATGTCACAGGTAGAGAGAATATGGTGATAATTTTGCTTTGGTATTTAAATAAGATATATTTTTGAATCTTTGTGTGTTTTACACAAAGATTTTACAATGCACATATATTGATTTTACCATAAGGAAAAGCTAATTTTAATTTAAAAAGTTGATCTTAGAAAGAAAGTAGTTAATAAAGGGGTGGATAAGTAGCATTGTCCAATTTTTAAATTTTTTTTCTTTTCTTGTATTGCAATTAATAGGCATGCCTAAATTGTAGTACCCAGTATTTAGTGAGCTATTTTAATGTTTCAGTCTAATAATCTTACTTGCATTGCTTTTGGATTATATCACTTTTTTCTTTCTTGCCATGTTACGTCACAACCTGTCAATTATTACAGTTTCATCAGTTAGTATTTGCTTTGTTGTTCACTAGTTGCCATACAAAGCATAGTCTTCTTTATGCTTTATTTTGGGACATGTCATTAAATTACAATGAATTAGAAATGAATGTTTCAAATGAATTAAAAAAACAATCTTGACATTCCTCCCCTTACATACAAAATGTTTTAATTGAGAAAAAACTCAAAACAGTCACACATATCAATTATCATCATGGTTCTCTGAAATATTTTCTTATACAAATGAAATATTTAAAATGAAAAAAATTACATTTTAAAAATCGAATTAACTAATTATTTTTGTCCTGCCTTTCCCCACAAGGATTTCAAGAGACTTACTGGAATACATAAAGCATGACAGATAATAGAGTAAAAAATAAAAATGGGAATAAATGTTAAAAACAAATATTGAGGGGAAAACACAAAATTAATTTTAAAATGCATAGAATAATATCAAATAACTAGTGAGTATGATTTACAAATATTTTTAATGTCAATTACACAGTTAATAATAAAAATGAGACAAAGTTAAATCAATTCTGTTAATTCTCCAACTAGATTGGAACTGCTTCAGAGAATACGGACAAAGATACTGTGGGAAGCAATAAACAATAGTCTCGGAATGCTAATCCATGTAGTAGGAATCATAATCTCATTTTCACATCATTCTTTGTTCTTTAAATTTGAAACACTTATTTCAAGGTCTTTATAAATTCACAACTTAATTTCTTTTTTTCAAAGAACTAATTTCTGGGTGGGTGAGTTGATCTTCTTTTCAGGCATTGCAAGGGCACCTTAAGGGTACTAATGTTATTAATGTGAATGACAAGTAATTAGAAAACTGGAGATTAAATTTTACACACATTTTATAAAATGCTACAATTAAAAAAAATTCAACATGATTGCATTACGAATATGAATGAAATTTCATTAGCGACTTCTTTAAATGTATATGTAATTCTATATTTTCCCCAAAACCCACATTTTATGAGGAACATTTATTTATTATTTTTTAATTTATTTTTATTTTTTTAGACGGCGTCTCGCTCTGTCGCCCAGGCTGGAGTGCAGTGGCTCGATCTCGGCTCACTGCAAGCTCCGCCTCCCGGGTTCCCGCCATTCTCCTGCCTCAGCCTCCTGAGTAGCTGGGACCACAGGTGCCGCCACCACGCCTGGCTAATTTTTTTGTATTTTTTTTAGTAGAGACGGGGTTTCACCGTGTTAGCCAGGATGGTCTCGATCTCGTGACATCGTGATCCACCCTCCTCGGCCTCCCGAAGTGCGGAGATTACAGGCGTGAGCTACAGTGCCCCACCAGAACATTGATTTTTTTAGTAGAGTCGTGAACTTTTATTTATTTAAATCAACATATATTTGTTGAATTTTGTCATATGTCTAATACGTTCCTTGGTGTTGATGATTCAGTGGTGTGTGGGCACTTGAATTGGTGAATTCTAACATAGTACATTACAATAGTATTTGGATGTTTAATCAATAAATGAGTAAATTCTCTGGTTGAGCTATTACTTCTGCAGTCTAATAATTTGGTAATATATCAGCAAAGCTAGAACAGTGGTGAAATAATACACAGATCCTTTATGCTGTTAGTGAGGTGGAAAGTCACCACGAGCTCCAGTATCAATTCAGCATTTGCCTTTGACATTTGGAGGCGGGGGGCAGATCTTGTCTTTAACTCTCACCAGTGGCTGCTATACCAAGTTGTTATTTTCTTTTTCTGTTTTAATACAATCAGAGTAATGGTAGGCATTGATATACTAATATGAATATAAAAGAATAATCTTCCTCAAAGTTATCAAATAATTCACCCACTTGTTAAAAGTACAAAAAGTGAACCAAAAGCTAGGGAGAAAAGTAAGTTTGTCCATCTTTTCAAAGATTAGGGTTCCTGGCCTCTTTTAAGATTGCTTTCTATTTAAGCATTATTTCATTTAATAGTACCATGTCATAATCTCTAATAGATATATAGAAATCACAAACATTCTAGAATGTTCTACATTCTAGAAGACTTATCTTAAAATATAGGGAAAGTGTGTGCATAAGGAAGGTTAGCAGAGAGAACGAGGGAAAAATATGACAGTAATAGAAAGGAAAAGTATAGGAGAGTCAAACATTTTGATTAAGGTAGCAATTAATTTAGTTCAATATGAATTCTAAATAACTGTTTCTGGATTGACTTACTATTTTATCAATGTAGCCATATTGATTAATTAAATCATATGTAAGCACAGACTGAGATGTGAATTTTACACCCTTGTGTCTACAGCATACATTTTGGCAGTCTCAGTTCGAGCGGCTGAGTATGACTTGGTCATGGAAACACCTGCAACTGAATAGGCTTTCCTCAAGGAATAAGAATAGTTTCTCCCAGGTCCAACACCTGTTTGAAAGAGAAATAAAAATAAGTAGGACTCAGTGAACTTGGGAAAACACCATTGTACATGTTTTTCCTCAAAAGGAGCAAGAATATAGATAGTCAAAGAAGGTATCATTTTGAAACTCTAAGAAGAATCCTAGGAGACAATTTAAGATTTTCATTCTGAAAGTTACTTTTAGGTTTAAAATTCAGCCAAGTAGATTTCCTTTTATTTTTTTCTTCATCAGGAGAGGTATTCCCTCAGTTTTTTAGGTGATATTTTTAGAAACCCAACATAACATGTTAAATTCTTTAAAAAGAAATATTTGGCTGGATCTTAGTCCACTTCTCCGTTTAACACTAAACATACATTAGGTTGAGTGGGTGAAGATATATATGTATGTATAACTGTAATACAGCAAAATATATATACATATATATACATGTTTATATATAAAATTCACAACTACAACCATGTCCAATATTCAAATGCATAAGTTATTTTAATGTATTACAATTAGATGTATATATACCTATATATGCATAAAATTATAAAGGTATAATTGTATATATGTATATACACATATATGTATAATTCTAATATACATATACATACTTATATGTATTCCTACCTGTTACCATTAAAAATTCCAATTACCATTAAAAATTCCAATTGTTCAAGGGCAATTGAATTGTAATACTCAAACATTATTACCCAGTGTTATATTAATTGAAAAATAAAATCCACAATTACAACCATATCTAATATTCAAATGTATAATAGTTATTTTGATGTATTACAATTATACATATAGTGTATATGTATATATATAGTGTATATGTATAATTGTAATATGTATACCTATATACATATATGTATATGTATATGCATATACATGCATATATGTGTATATATGTATATATGTATAGTCATAATACATTAAGATAACTATTAGACATTTGAATATTGGACATGCTTGTAGTTGTGGATTTTATATTTCATTTAATATAACACTAACTGAGTATTATATTTTTCAATTAATATAGCACTAACTGGGTAAAATACATATTTTTCAATTAATATAGCACTAACTGGGTAATAAAGTTTGAGTATTACAATTCAGTTGTCCTTGAACAATTGGAATTTTTAAAGTAATAGGTAGGAATTCAAATAAATAGCATTTTTTTTTCTTGTGAAATGTGTTTCCACTGGATTGGGAAAAATGATAGTGGAGGCAAGGAAGTTTGCTATTTTATTTTATTCTTACCTTTAAAAAGGTATAAGCAGCAGGTGAGAATGGCTCCAGCCAAAAAGCAACCCAGAGACCCAGCCATTCCTAGCCAACAGGACCAACCAAATTTATACTGGATACCAAGAAATAGATTGTGCAAAATCAGAGTAGAACGTTCCACATAGACATCAACAGCATACCACACAGAGCCAATGATTCCTGGGGTGCCTGAAAGAAAGGGAGGATGCTACAGATAATAGGGGACATTTTCTGAATTTAAATCCCAAAATACCTGTTTACTACCCAAAATGGCTGGCGTCATTCAGAGAGGTAAAAACAGAAACATGGATTCATGGGCGAACCAAAGTTTGGACACTTCTTGTGTCTCTTCCTTTTGCTTTCCATCTTGTATCTTTTTAAAATTTTACCTCACTTTATACACAAAGAAAATACAAAAATGAAATAATGCAGTACTCATCGGTTTGTATAAATGGAAATTCATCGTTATGGGTTTGATTTTCCTGTCTTTCCGATGCCACGTTAGTATTGTATAAATGAAAATACTAGAAACAAAACCAAACAAAACAGAAAAAGAATATAGTCTAACACAAACAACATAGAGCATATGTTCATTCCATACTGATTTTTTAATTGTCAGTAAATACCATTATGAGTATTTAATGCTCCCTCTACCCCCTTTTGAAGCTATGCCAGCTACGTAATCAGCACCCATGTGAAAACTGTTTTTAAAGTCACTGATTTCAGTGTCTTTAAGTCAAAAAAAACAATTGAAGTAAAAATTGTTTTTATTTTCAAATAAACCTTTATCTAATACCCCCACGCCATATTAGAATGGAGCAAGAAATGTTATTCCCTTTGAATACATCTCCACAGATTAGCCTCTCTAACAATTAACTGGTTTGAAATGACGCCACTAGAGTCCTGGTATTTTAAAGGTGTATGTTGCACGTCGAAGCCTGGATGCAATAAAGAAATGTGGTGAGTTGGAGGACAAAACACTGTATTAAAAGAGTGTTTTTGAAATATGTAGTCTCCACACGCTCAATGTCTAGCAGAAGGCAATTAGAAGAAATCAGTAATCTATAGGTTGTCTAAGTCTGCTTGAGTTGGATTTTCAGTTATTTACTTCTAAATGTGTGCTTACTGATATCCTGAAGCTATATCAACATTACTGTTAAGATCAAGATCTTGCCCACCAATACCCAAATAACTGGATCCTGCTTTTCCTTCATTTCAAAGTTCTGCTACTCTGTGCTAAATTAGATGCATGTCTTCACAAAGAATCTCTTCAGATTACTTTCCAGAGTTGTTTTACTGTCTAACGAAATAAATATTTGTTTTTCCCAAATCTAAAAAAATAAAATAAAATATGTAGTCTCCAAAAATTTTTACATTTTTTTCCTCAGAGAGTCTGTGATATCTATTTAAATCACTATTTAACTGTATTCTTCTCTTAATTGTTTAATGTAAGAACTTTAAGAAGGATCAGATAGGCTGGGCACGGTGGCTCACGCCTGTAATCCTAGCACTTTGGGAGGCCGAGGCGGGCGGATCATGAGGACAAGAGATTGAGACCATCCTGGCCAACATGGTGAAACCCCGTGTCTACTATAAATACAAAAAGTAGCCAGGCATAGTGGCGGGCACCTGTAGTCCCAGCTACTCGGGAGGCTGAGGCAGGAGAATGGCGTGAACTCGGGAGGCAGAGCTTGCAGTGAGCCGAGATCGCGCCACTGCACTGCAGCCTGGGCGACAGAAGCAAAACCCTGTCTCAAAAAAAAAAAAAAAGACAGATAATAAACACATAACCTTTAGAAAATGCAGTATATATTGCAATAGCATTTCTATAATACCATCGTCTGCAGTTTTCAGGTAGAAATTCCTTTTCTAAAACTTCAAAAGAGATTATAGACTTTAAAAAATAAATTTTATAGCACACTAATTCTAAATAATGTTTCCAAAGCTTAGGACATGCTTTGTCTTTCAATTTAGTTATTTCTTCAGTCATTCCTATCAGGATTTTCTTCAATGACTTATTTTTTAAATGTTATTTGTTTTGTTGTTTTCCATAAGATGGGTTATTTACTGATGATGCCTCAAAAATATTCTGGAACAAAATTGCATAGCTGTACATAATTAAATAATATTTAAATCTTAAATGAAATACATTGTATATTAAAAAGTTCAATGCTGTCAGTAAGCGGGATATTGAAATAAATGACTTACAGAAGGGAAGAATTCTCAATTTCTGTAACTTTATAATACAATCTGAGGATTATTAGGACGTTGACTTAACATTTCTGTGTCAAAAATCAGGGAGGCCCAAGTTTTAAGCATATAAAGGGTTAGGCAGTCAGCTCAGAGTTTGCTGTGCCCACATTGCATCTTCACATAGCAATTCAGGGTACATGTTACTACCTTAGCTTCATGCTCCTTTGCAGATTAGGAAACAGAGACATGGGTGAAGATACCACACATACATATCTCCAAGTGTTTTTAGTTCCAAACTCCATATCGATTTACTACCCCACACTGCCCAGTCAGGCTCCCACTTATATTCGCTTTGTTAGCAGATAAGATTTTTCCTGCTAACAGACAAGAAGACAACATTATGTTGTAAAAGAAGAGGACTGGCTGGGCGCGGTGGCTCACGCCTGTAATCCCAGCACTTTGGGAGGCCGAGGCGGGCAGATCACCTGAAGTCGGGAGTTTGAGATCAGGCTGACCAACATGGAGAAACCCCATCTCTACTAAAAATACAAAATTGGCCAGGCATGGTGGCACATGCCTATAATCCCAGCTACTAGGGAGGCTGAGGCAGGAGAATCGCTTGAACCTGGGAGGTGGAGGTTGCAGTGAGCCATGATTGTGCCATTGCACTCCAGCCTGGGCAACAAGAGTGAAACTCTGTCTAAAAAAAAAAGAAGAGGACTAAGCTTTGAAGTTGAAGACAGACCTGAATAAAGTATGATTTTGCTGTTTCACTAATAAATACTATTTAAAGTGCTTTTTGATGTGTTGTTTATTAGTCAAGCTTGACTAATAAATATGCTTGAGTAGTCTTCAGAACTTCAGTTTCTTTATCTGTGTTGTAAGTGGGGATAACAATATGATCTGTTTATTGTTACATTTATGAACAAATGGGTTAGCACATGGGACAACATAGGACTTGGCACAACTGTTAGTTTATTGTTAAAAAGAGTTGGTGCTTGGGAGGCTGAGACAGGAGAATTGCTTAAATCCGGGAGGCGGAGAGTTGCAGTGAGCCGAGATCATATCACTGAACTCCAGCCTGGACGACAGAGTGAGACTCCATCTCAAAAAAAAAAAAAAAAAAAAAAAAGAGTTGGTGGAGTTGGTGTGGAGGTGAGTACAGGCAAGGAGGTAGAAGTTTGGGGTTTACTTTAGGATTTTAACTTTAGTAATAATCATAAGATAATTATTTTAAAACTTGAAGTTATGTAACTTTTTAAATGGCTAAAACATAGTTTTAGAGCTTTTTTTCTTTCCTTCTTTCTTTCTTTTTACCCCTGAGATGGAGTCTTGCTCTGTTACCCAGGCTGGAGTGCAGTGGCGCGATCTCTGCTCACTGCAACCTCCACATCCTGGGTTCACGCGATTCTCCTGCCTCAGTCCCCCAAGTAGGTGGGACTACAGGCATGCACCACCATGCCTAGATTTGTATTTTTAGTGGAGATGGGGTTTGACCATGTTGACCAGCTGATTTCGAACTCCTGGCCTCAAGTAATCTATCTGCCTTGGCCTCCCAAAGTGGTGGGATTACAGGCATGAGCCACCACACCCGGCCTGAGAGCTTCATATTTTGTTCTGAGATATTAACAAAAGACTAATTATCTGACTTCAAAGCTAAAGTAAGCAGGACTGGTAGATGTGATCTTTAGTTTTTCAATCTAGAAAAGGAAGCCACATATAATCCGAAAATGAGCAGCTTCACCACAACACTCTCCTTCACCTCAAGTCCTTAGCAGAGTCTCCCTACCCCAGTTGCTAGTCCAGCCAGACCAGTACCTGCTATTAGTAATGTGGTTCCAGCAACAAAGCAGATGCGGACTTTAATGTACGGCTCGTCAGGGAGGAATTTCACGCAGTCAAGACCAAGGAGCAGGGTGAGAAATCCAAACCCAGCTAGAATATCTGCAGTAATCATCAGCGCTCGAGTTACCACCAGCTTCACTGGAAGACCAGGACATATAGTTAAAGCACAGTCAGAGAAAGGAACCATATTAACTCACAGAGATATAGCAAGAAAACCAGACAAGTCGGTAACAGTAACACACCCCACTGGCAAAAGTCAGACTTTGTATGAACTTAAACATGAGTACTCCTAATGTTTAAAACTAAAAAAATGAGATTATTGACATCATTAATTGTTTTAGCACAGTTTACTACTTAGTTTTGTTGGTATACTAGCAGATAGCATCCTGGTAGACAGTGGGGACTAAAGAAATGTTTTCCTTTTTGCCTCCTGCCCTGGAAAATGTCTCATTCACAAATATTGTAGCCAATTGCTGAATTGAAGGTAGCATATCTGTTCTACAAAAATTTCTTAATAAATATTGAATAAATAAATAATCACTATAGTTGTTTAAAATTTTATTTAAAAATAATAATTGGTTAAAATTTGACACAGGGAAGCAGAATAAAATATTTCAAGACTTCTTTGTGTCAATTGAGGATAGAAGAAACCATCAGGAGATCTTTAGAAGAAGGAGAGTTAGTTTGTGCTATTAGGTAGAAGATAATTTCTGGAAATTAGATCATTTTCTCTTTCAGCTATTTAAATCATGACTCTTCTTGGCCAATATTACATATTAAGCCTTCAACCTTGCATTGTCAAATGACCATATTTTAAAGCTACAGACAATAAGAATAAGAATATATGGTAGACAGTCCAGGAAAGAAAAGATCAGGAAGACGGAAGTGGAATAGTAGCAATCATCTTCTGCAGCAGAAGCATCTTCAACTGTGAAAGCCTCCAGAACTGAGTTATAGTTATGCTGAGCTCAACTTAGGGAAATCATATCTCAAATAGAAGGTTAATTAACTGAAATCAGAACTACTACTATTCTAGCTGGCTGATGGATAAGAGTAATAAAATGTATTCCTTTCATGGTACAGCAATTATGTTTTATTTTCATATTGATCTGGGGTTTCCTTGTATTTTAAATAATTTTTACCCAATGGTAGGTAACCTTAGGGTTTACTTGGAAACATGTTGTTTGCAAATATGCAGACAATATTCCTGAACTTAAAATAAAAAAAGTGTGACTCATCTGAGAGAGAAAATCAATGCATTAAAATCAGCCCCAACCTCATTAATAAGTAAACATACTATTTATAATTATCTTAATATATATGAATATTTGTCTCTAAAACAGAATTCATAAGGTCTCAAAATTTAGCATTATTTCAGAACAATTTAAATGTTCCAAATCTAAGACTCATTTTTCTCAAAATGAGGAAAGAGAAAAATATGTAACCTATTAGATAATACCACTATTTCAACATATCTTCTTGATCACTAAATAGCATATACAAGCAGGCTTCCTACTCAGGGCTCTAAACCAAAAGGTTCTTGTCCTTTGGATAGCCTCCCATGAAATTTTCCAAGTACTCTTTTGAAACCTGGGACTACCTGGGGCCAGCTATACCATCAGGATAGGGTGGTCTGAACTCATCCAAACTCTCATGGCCTAGATCTTCTTCCCTTCGGAATGCTCCAACTCCTATCCTACATGTAGGGTCTCTGAAGAGCCTATGGGGTGGACCAGGGGCCCCATGGCCAGCCTGGATCCAGGAGGGAATTCCTGAAAGCAGATAGATCATGCTGGCCAGTAAGAAATTTCTTTTTCTGGAATCATGCGAGATTTGACTATCAGAATGCTGTTAATATGCTGATTTGTGGGGACTCAAATTATCCATATCAACTTGAGCCATGACAAACATACTTGTCTGGATTAAACACCCTAAGTATACAGGACAGTGGAAAGAGTTATCTAATTGTAGTTGTATGAAAGATAGCAAAAAGTAAAAATAAAATCCTACTTCCTCATATGTAACATCCTAACCAAGAGGGCACAGATATGTCATTTTCCTAGAGTCCATTTTCCTCTCTGCTGTCTTTAAAGAAGATGGAATTTTTTAAAGAAAGGTAATGGGCCTTTAGTGTCTTATTTGAAAGTAATAGGTTAAAAAAGGGAAAAATGTGACGGCATAGGTCAAAGATGAAAAAGGAACATATTAAAATATAAATGGTGGTTTTCTCTATGTAGTGAGCTTATGAGTGATTATATTTTCTTCTTGTACAAATGCATACAACAGTATTTAAAAGTTTGAAATACTTAATCTTTCATTTTCTTCTCAGCTTATGAATTAAAATCCACTTTAATGAATTTTTAGAATAGGCTAAATGTTCATTCCTATTCAGCAAATAGTGTTTCTTCGTAGGTAGAACTAGGTTCACATAGAGAGGGGAAAAGAAAAGGAATTAAGAGAATCTTTTTTAACAAAAATAAAACAAAGGCCTTATGAACTATGTTTTAAAAAATGTTCCAGGCACCCAACTTTTAAATAGCAGATGAAGAATTTTAGAGCACTGCTCTTTAAGTGCTTTCCTCTGGACTGAAATAGCAGTTCAGGGGCAAAGTCACATTCCAAGGGTTTAACTTTTTATTTATCTTGAGAAAGAAGTTGCTTTATGGTGCCATCACCCATCATTTGCTTTGAAAGAGACTAAAACCACTTTGCTTTTGTAACAGAACAGGTATTTCTTAGCCGGTTTCAATGTTCTTATAAATAAACACACACCATGGAGAGGACTGAGAGAATCAACGGTAAGATTTTTAAATTTAAGAGATTTCTTTATTCATAGCAACATGGGCTCTGCTAACATGTAACTATTTGTTTGTTTATTTATTCATTTATTTATTTATTATTTTATTTTCTGAGATGGAGTCTTGCTGTGTCTCCCAGGCTGGAGTGCAGTGGTGCGATCGTGGCTCACTGCAACCACTGCCTTCCGAGTCCAAGTGATTCTCCCACCTCAGCCTTCTGAGTAGCTGGAACTACAGGCTCCTACCACCATGCCCAGTTAAGTTTTTTTTCTTTTTCTTTTTCTTTTTTTTTTTGGTATTTTTAGTAGGGATGGGGTTTCACCATGTTGGCCAGGCTGCTTTAGAACTCCTAACCTCAAGTGATCCCTTGCCTTGGCCTCCCAAAGTGCTAGGATTACAGGCGTGAGCCACTGCACCTGGCCTTAACTATAACTTAAAGCTAAAAGTAGGGAAGATAAGGGAGCCAGCTTTAATATTGCCTGTAACAGTGTGTCACATGTATTGGTTTTTTCTTCCACTGATCCCCACAGTCTACGTCTTTGTCCCTGGCTGTTTACCTCTTTCTGCCTCTGCCACTGTATCTTCACCTCTCTTTCTTAGCAAACCTTCAATTGAAGTAACTGTAAACTTTCTATTTGAACTAAGTCATAGCTTAAAACGTCTCTGAAATGCTTTCCACTTAATCTATCCAGTCTAATCATGAAATTACAGCACCCTAAAGAATTCATCTTGATTAAAAAGCCATTTACTGTAAGCCTACTGTGTATGAGGCACTATGCCTGGCCCTCTGGGGGACAGAGAGATGAATAAGATAATATTTTTCCCTCGAGGAATTTACAAATATATGAGAAAAGAGAAAATGTGCTAAAGTATATATTTAAATTCACATTTCCAAGACGAGCTCAATTTCTAACCATTTCAAACTGGACCAAGCCTTAACAATGTACAATAGAAAACAAAGCACAAATGAAAACCTGAACTCAGTTTTCTGTCCCTTTCCATTCCTGGCAAGCAGCGAGATCTAAGGCATACGTACAGGGATGTTCCGCAAGGATGGAATCGTACTCATCGCAGGTGCGAATTCCATCAAAAGCATTGGTGACGCATTCCCACCAGAGGCCTCGGCATTTTGTGCTCACCTAGATGTCAGAGAAGACACCGTGTGAAACAATTCATGCAGGCACACTTCAGTCCTCCTTGATCAAAGGGAGAAGTTGGCTGTTGTGTTTGATAGTAAAGTAAGTGGTTACATGCATGATCAGAGTTTCATTTACAACATACAATGCATTTTAGAATATTTTCCCTTAAGCACTGACAATTGAAGCCTTTCTGGGTCAGGAAATGAATCCACTTCCTCAGGTAGGGTAGGGGTAGAGAAATAAGTCATGTCCAGAAGAGATAAAAACAGAACTAAATATATTTAAATATCTATGTCTGCTTCCACCATTGAGTTATGGTTATGGAAAAACATCATTTCATGTCTCTGTGCTGACATTTACTCACACACACACACAAAAAACCATATGACAATAGATGATAACTGTTGACACCTTGAGTCTATTAGAAATATACATTGCTTCTTTATCATGAATACTGAGTTCCATGAAGAAAAATATTATCCTTATATATGAAGTTTATAAATGTAAAATAATTAGCAAAGAAAACCAATAAATGAAAAGATGCCAATAAATAAAATATATAAAGGCCCCAAGTCTTATTTCTTGCTCCAATGATATATTATAAATGCTTAAGCTATGTAATGGATGTAAGCAAATTGAGCATTAATTTCGTACCACTTGACAACTGTGAACCATTTTGACTTGGAAATGATGTGCAGATGACTCTAAGCATCCACTTAGAGCTAAAAGGTACCAGTGCCCTGAACCTTCTCACACTTTATCCACAAACCGTAAGTCACAGTAGATTTCTTAGAATCGTAAACATGCCCACAGAAAACAGTTTCAGGTGTGCTTGACAGAGCTCACGCATATGGAACAGAGCTAACACAACTGTTTCCTCTGACTTGGTTACGGATTCAAATTACCTTGTGTATCTGCGGATAGTTTAGTAGTTTATGAGTTATCTTGGAAAACAAAAACAATTCTTTCCCCAAGAAAGAATAAAATAACAGAGCAGGGTGAGAAGAGGAATGCAAAGGAAGGGGGTTAAATTGCTGTGGGAAGAAAAAAACATAAAAACACTTTACTTTTGAAAATAAAATAATATTCAGGAATACATGCACTATGAAACTCTCTGCCCCGTGCTGTTTTTTGAAGCATGTTATGTGCCAGATAAAATTCTACTGCTTGCAACTTCATCGTGATTCTGAATGTTGTACCTCTAATACTACTTTATATGTAAAATGCTTATCATTGGTGATAATTATTCGATAGAGAGTGTATATCATGAAGCAGTTACTATTTAGCATATGATTATTTTTCTTATTTCTTAAGGGACCTCAAGAGATATTATTTATCATCCATTTTACAAATGAGGAAATTGGGGCACATGAAAGTTAAGTGATAACCCCAAGAAAGCAGAGTTAATGGAGGAGATAGGGCTCAAACACAGCAGTGCGTGGGTGTGCTCCTAAGCATTGCATTTTATTTAAAACCCATTCTTTATGATCCAACAAAGCTCATTATTGGGCATTTATTCACAGGAAAGGAAATCAGTATGTCCGCACCTCCATGCTCTTTGTGGCACTATTCACAATAGCCAAGATATGGAATCAGCCTAGATACCCAACAACAGAGGAATGGATAAATACGATGTGGTATATATACACACAATGGAATACTATTTAGCAATTTAAAAATATGAAATTCTTTTATTCAAGTCAGCATGGACGGAACTGAAGGACATAATGTTAAATGAAATAAGCCAGGAATAGAAAATTAAACATTGCGTATTTTTATTCATATGTGGAAGCTATAAAAAGTTGATCTCGGCCGAGCGCCGTGGCTCACGCCTGTAATCCCAGCACTTTGGGAGGCTGAGGCGGGCGGATCACGAGGTCAGGAGATCGGGATCATCCTGGCTAACACGGTGAAACATGTCTTTACTAAAAATACAAAAATTAGCTGGGCGTGGTGGTGCATGCCTGTAGTCCCAGCCACTCGGGAGGCTGAGGCAGGAGCATCGCTTGAACCAGGGAGTCGGAGGTTGCAGTGAGCCAAGATCGCGCCATTGCACTCCAGCCTGGCGACAGAGCGAGATTCCGTCTCAAAAACAACAACAACAACAACAACAACAACAACAACAACACGCGGTAAAAAGCAAGACAGAGGATACTGAAGGCTGGGAAGGGTAGGGGTCAGGGAATAAGGAGAGATTTGCTAAGAGATACAAAAAAAGAGGAATAAATTCTAGGGTTCTATACCAGTGGTCCTCAACCCTTTTGGCACCAGGGACCGGTTTCATGCAGACAATTTTTCCATGGAACCAGTGGCTAGAGGGTTGGGGATGGTTTGGGATGAAACTGTTCCAGCTTAGATCATCAGGCATTAGGTGCTTATAAGGAGTATGCAACCCAGATCCCTGGCACGTGCAGTTCACAACAGGGTTTGCACTCCTGTGAGAATCAAATACCGCCGCTGATCTGACAGAAGGTGGAGCTTAGTTGGTAATGCTCTCTTGCCCACTGCGCACCTCCCGCTGCGCAGCCCAGTTCCTAAGAGGCCACGGACTGGTACTGGTGTGTGGCCTGGGAGGTGTGGACCCCTGTTCTATAGCACTCTAGGATGGCTCTTGTTAATAATGGTATAATTTCAAATAGGTAGAAAAAGGATATTTAATGTTTCCAACAAAAAAAATATAAATGTTTGAGATGATGGCTATGCTAATTACCCTAATCTGATCACTACACATTATGTATATCAAAACGTTACTATGTACCCCATTAAAAAGATGCACATGTGCTAAAAAAAAAAAAAATTGTTTAAACAGTTAAAAGTGTTTAAAAACTTTTTTTTTTTTTTTTTTGAGGCAGAATCTCGCTCTTGTTCCCCCGGCTGGAGTGCAATGGCGCGATCTCAGCTCACCGCACTCTCCACCTTCCAGGTTCAAGTGATTCTCCTGCCTCAGCCTCCCGAGTAGCTGGGATAACAGGCATGGGCCACCACGCCAGGCTTTTTTTTTTTTTTTTTTAGTATTTTTAGTAGAGATGGGGTTTCTCCATGTTGGTCAGGCTGGTCTCGAACTCCCAACCTCAGGTGATCCGCCCACCTCGGCCTCCCAAAGTGCTGGGATTACAAGCGTGAGCCATCGTGCCCAGCCTAAAAACAAGTTTTTAGAAAGAATTCCAAATCCATTTTAAGATAAAGTAATCCAGAATTGGGTATTGGATGATAGCTTTGGGTGAAGTAAGCCCTAACTTGAATCTCATCCCAAGCCTATTATTCTGCAAACTTCACCTTGGCATGTTCTTCTTTAGGTTTAAGTTGGAAACAATGTCATGGACTTTCTGGAGGATTATCTGACCCTGTGTAACACAGAGACCAAAAAATCTAATGATAAACAGCTATCTTGTGAAATTCAACACATAAATTTCTAAATAATGTGAACATCTAAATGTATATGTGCATTACATAGAAATTAAATTTACATATGCATTAAATATTAAATATAGATTGACATTCTTACTATGTATGTTGTAACCTTGAGGAAGATCTTACCTTTTTTGTTCCTCAATCTCCTTATCTGTATATAGGATGGTTATAAGAATTAAAAATTACAAATATACACACAATATAAATGATATGCTCGATACATAAAAATAGTGGTAGTAACATGCTTAAACATCATAATGACTTGAGTAGTGGCTGTGTTAGGCTTTACTAACTAACCACAGTGAAGGTGGAGAAAGAGGGTGGCCCTCTGAAAGATATGTCCACATTCTTACCACCAGTTTATGACCTTATTTGGAAAAAGGATCTCTGAAAATGTAACTGAGGACCTTGAGATCATATTGGGTTATCCAGGTGGGCTGACAAGTTTCATTAGAAGAGACACATGGCAGGAGAGAAACAGACAGAAAAGAAGGATGCAATGTGACCGCTGAGGCAGAGATTGGAGGGATACAGCCACAAGTCAAGGATGCCTACAGCCACCAGAAGCTGGAAGAGGCTAAGAACGGATTCTTCCAGAACTTTCAGGGGCAGCGCAGCCTTGCCAACTTCTTGATTGTAAGCTTTCAGCCTCCAGAACTGTGAGAGAATAAAGTTATCTTTTGTTAAGCCACTGAATTTATGGTCATTTGTTACGGCAGCTGTAGGAAACTAGTATATTGGAGACGGCTTGTACAGAACTGCTATATCATAACAGAAAACGGAACAGAAAACTTTCTCAAAGCTGACTACCCCTCAGTCTCTTAATTAACAGGAACACACTGCATCCAGTTCACTTTAGCTCGAGCTAGGTGATATGAGTTTGAAGCCACTGTGCTGTAAATCAGACAGCGACTGTCCACAATTTCTTACTAAGCCAGCCACTGAAACAAACTAGCCTACTATGGTCATTCCTGTTATATGTAACATTATTTAGAAAGTGATCTGAAATGCATATTCAAAAATTCTTATTTTACACTAATAAGAGTATTTCTATCTTGCCAAAATAATTCAGTAGTGGTATCAGTTTCAAGGCTATTGATCATTTACCTGCAATGACCATATTTAGAAAAGCAATGAGCTCATTAGAGAAAACAAGGAATCCAATTTCATTAGGTATTAATGCTCAGGGGCACACTATTAGGTGGCTTGGTATTCACACTCAGTTAAGGTACGTGAGAATAGTGGCTGTAATTAACTAAACTTCTGTGTTAAAATAGCACTTACGGGAGACACCCTTAAAGGTGCCTTTGTGTACAAAAGACAAGGTTAAAATTTTTCATGTTTTTTATTATATTTAGGAATGCTCTCTGGTATAATTAATCGTCTTCATTTACTTATTCCTCTGTTGTAAAATGGCTTATTAGAAACTAAAAAGCAAGCAAATCTAAGTTCTTGAAAATTTTAAGACAGGGTTCTTAAAAAGCAGACTGATGTTTTAAAATATTATAGTTAACCTTTCTTAAAGGGTAAAAATCGCAAATGTTAAGTAATAACTTTTAATCTGACAGAGTTGTCTGAAATAGAGGATT